TTTGATACAGTAAAATGCATAAAAGTTTACTGACTTTTAGTAATGTCCTGTACAACAGGATTTTTTAGTGTGTTAATCCAGTCAGAGCAATTGCAAAGTCTTTGTTTGGGAATGGTCTTGGTAGGTGTAATCTTTCCATTTTATTATTTAAACCCCCACCCCCCCAAAAAAAAAAACCAAATGTGTATATAAGGAAGAAATATTTTTATAACTATAAAAATAGGCTTCAGGCTTACTACCCTCAATATACTATCTCTATTGCTAATTTTATTTTTAAATACTTAGTTTAAAAGAATTAGTAAGTATGTCACCTGGAGGGGGTTATGTCTAAAAATAGACAAGATGGAATAGCTTAGAGGATACCCTCCCTGCAGCGACTCGAAAAAAATGCACGGCTTTTTATCTTTTATGAGCCTCTGTCTCATGGTATGTAATAGAACATTCTTCTACCATCTTTAGTCTTCCTGCAGGGCCTCTATAAAGATTTCCAGGGGGCTCCATTTTTAGGCAGTGGGAAGACAGAGTTCAAAGTTCAACCTGAACCTCAGGTTGTCTCTATCTGGCCAGCTCTGTCTCCGACTAAGTCTTTCAGTCTTGCTGTGTCTTTTATTCTCCCCTGTTTTGCTCCTTCAACCCTCTACTTCCTTCCAGCTCAGCTCTATGTCATGGTTAATAAAGAACCAGCCAAGTACGACTCATGCATGTGTGTGTTTTAGCTGAATCATTCCTACAATTATAAAATTATTCAAGGCAGCAGATTTAAATGGTCCCTCACCACCAAACCAAAGAATATAATAAAAAATGATGTTCAGTGCTCACTTCGACAGCACATATACTAAAATTGGAACGATACAGAGAAGATTAGCATGGCCCCTGTGCAAGGATAACATGCAAATTCATGAAACATTCCATATTTTTGGGTTGTCACTTTGTGAGGGGTGAAAGGCATAACTATTGCATTGTTTTGTACACCTAAAACTAATAATAAAAAAAAATGATGTTCATATGTGTTCACCTAAAATATGCCATAAATGCTATGATTTAAAGGACATTTAATTCACTGTAAGAAAGGAAGAAATATTCAAAATAACCTCCATGAAAATGCAGTCCTGTGTGTTTCTACAGTTCATGGTACATACAGGTCAGAGACTTGATAGCCAAGAGTTTTTCCTATAGAGCATTATTTCAAAACAGATTTATCATACAGTGTCCCTGGAGCAGTCTTATTCTTACATCTTTGTACTCCAACAGCACACACCCAAGAGTTCATCCTGATGAAAGATTTCACCCTTCCTCTGCATCTGTTATATCCCTCCATGCTCCTGTTCCTCTATCATAAAACCAACTCATACAAAATATTCAGGATTTTCAGCCACAAAGTCAATAGATGGTTGTAAGAGTTTGATCACATCCGTGTCCAACCTCTTGGTCAGCTGAGAGTACTGGTTCCAATTTGACCTGTTCCCTCCTTCACGTGCCCTATTTCCAGTGTCTTGTGACTATGTATTTGCATCAAAAAATCCATTTTTTAGGAGTTAATTGCTTGCTGTCTGAGTTCAGTGGTTTTGTATAATTCAGGCCAACCCACATCTGCTGCAAAGCCAAGTTGATAGACCTCAGTCACGCACCAGGTTTTCCTAAGGTGGCAAAAATCATTCTGAGCTATACACCAAATCGCTGCCTTCTAGTTTTTAGTATACCCCATAGCACGTTTTGCAGAGTGTTCACGCAAGAGTGGTCATGATTCAGACCTTCGTTTGCCACACTTTTTATGAAAGGAGGCCAAACTGATGGGCCAGTTCTAACTCGAGGATGGCAAGCCCATGTCATTGTGTGGGCCACGGCCAGCCAATACGTAAAGATAAAACTTCTAGCTCTGGCAGCATGGCGGATGACATGACTTGAAAGTCCTCTGCTAAAACACCTAGCAAATGGGAGATAAAATAGAGCAAGCATTTGCCTAAATGCATAATGGAGCCCCCCACCCCCAAAAAAGTTAGAATATTGCCAAGGGACAAAAACAAAAAGGGAACTAAAACCCAAAACAATTAAGGCATGAGCCACTGCTGCCGCTGAGCTGCCAGCTTGGGTTTCAGTGGCCACCCAGGAAAAAGATGGTCTTACCCCTTTGCCTGGGAACGGCATCCATTCAAGTTAATCCGCTTGGTTTGCTTCCCATGGTTAGCCATGGCCAACGTATTTATTTTAATCTGCTCCATGATCCTCAAAGGTAATCTCACCCATGTGTCCGGGGATACCAGTCTTCGTGAAGGGTGGGGGGCTTGGCATATTTACCTAGCTACTTCGCCAGGTCATCATATACCTCACTCTAGCCGTTTGAGACATATACTTAACAAGGAGGGGTCATCTGCGTTTGCTCCCTCATAATGCCGGTTATACTTAGTTGCGTGATTTCATACTTTAATATTAAGGAAACAGATGAGTGTGAAAAGAAAGACTATTGCTGTTTCTATGCAACCCAAGTCCTAGGCTTTGGAAAGAATGAAAAATGGTGCGTCGATTAAGATGTAAGCAGAACAGCGGTAAAAGATTGGACTGGGAGAAGCATTTAGAAACCTAGAAGGGCTATCAGTCAGTAGGTTTATGGAGAGAAGAGAGAGCCTGGGTGAATCTGGTGAATTTCTTCGTCCCTTGTTAAAGAAGAGGGAGAATTTCAAGCCACATGCAAAGCGACTGAGTACGGAATCATGCAGGTTACATTAGTAACTGAAATAAAAGTATGATGACACAGTCATGAAGCATTCAGGCTTTGAGGCATGGCAGACCTGGTTTGAATTCTGAGGCTGCACTTTGTTGTGTATCCTTGGGTAAGTCATGAAACATCCTCTCAGTCTCCTAATCTGAAAATAGGGGTGATGATAGTACTCCCGTGCTCCTGGAGCTTTTGTGAGAATTAAGTGAGATACTGTTTGGGGAACATGTGGCCTATGCCAGATACCTTTACCGCTCTATAATAGCTGTTAAGATTCCATTGGGTGGCTTTTCTAAAACTTTCACTTCTCACCTTGCTATCTGTTAAGACCTATCTAGATGACTTTTGGAACCGAACTCCATAATCCTTCATGCATTTGGCTGCATGAGTGATGTGCAAGTTGCTTATGTTCGTTTGTTAGGGTTGCCATAACAAAATAACAGAGGGGGGTGGCTTAAACCACGGACGTTTATTTTCTCACAATTTTGGAAGCTGGAAGTTCAAGATCAAAGTGTCAGCAGGTTTTATTTCTTCTGAGGCCTCTTTCCTTGGCTTGTCTTCCTGCATTGTCCTCACATGGTCATTCCTCTGTGGGCACGCATGCTCCTAGTGTCTTTTTGTGTGTCCAAATGTCCTTTTCTCGTAAGGACACCAGTCAGATTGGAGTGGGGTACACCCTAAAAGCCTCATTTTAACTCTGTAATGGCCCTATCTTTAAATACAGTCACACTCTGAGATACTAGAGGTTGGGCTTCAACATAATGAATTTGGGAGGGGACACAATTCAACCCATAACATTGCCACAGATAAATTATTTTCCACTGCATTTGAAAGTAACCATTTTCAGAATAATAACTTGAATAGAAATTATGGTTGTAGAATTTTAAAGGTATCTTCTAACCATTGAAATGCTATGACTTTGTAGGATTCTTTATCTATGACCTATATAATGAGTTCATTTACTATGCATAGAAAAATATCTGAGGTCAGGTTTAAAGATTTATAAATTGATATATATTTTAAAAATACGATCTCTGATTATTATGCTTAGCGAAATAATGTCAGACAGAAAAGGCCGAGAACCATATGATTTCACTGATATATGGAATATAAAACTGAAAACAACAAAGGAACAAAACAAACAAATGAAGAAACAAAAACTCACAGACACAGACAATAGTTTAGTGGTTACCAGAGGGTAAGGGGGGTGAGGGGTGGTAGATGAGGGTAAAAGGGATCAAATATATGGTGATGGAAGGAGAACTGACTGGGTGGTAAATACACAATATGATATATAGGTGATGTATTACAGAATTATACACCTGATACCTATGTAACTTTACTAACAATTGTTACCCCAGTAAACTTTAATTAAAAAAATATATGTTCTCTGTTAATAAGCTACAAATATTTTTTAAAACATTATTATTGAAAAATACCTGTTTATGTCATTCATTGAGCAGGGAGTTAGGGAACATTTACGTGTGTACCATAGGTGTATATAAAATCAAATAAAGTACTTATTAACTGAGCACCTGTTCAGGTACACCACCCGGTCAAAAGGTAGGGGCACACTTGTAGAAGTCCCTGCTCTCAAGGGGTATTGATCTACTTGAGAAAATGCCAGAAATGTCACCAAGTGAGCTCATTTAATTGCCAGATAAATGCTCAGTGAAGGCAATGAGGGCTGTGTGTCCACAATTGCCTCTGAAGTTAGGATTTGGAACTTGTAATGCTTAACCTATCGTCATATTGGGAGAAAGGGAAGTGGTATAATCCGAAAACTAAACCCAGAGGTGGCTCACTGCAGTCTTCAGGACAAGTGGAAGGAGAGAGACTCATGAGGAAGTACTAGGATGACCAAATGGTGAGGAAGGAAGGAGTGCTCTGAGAAGGATCTGACCAAGAACGGTTTCAAAAGATACCACATAGCCCTGGTTTGAGACTAGGACAGTGATGTGTTCTATCCTATCATAAAGTGAAGTAGAACCTTGAAGCCAAGGCCTGTATGTGATGGCAGTAGCACTATCGTTACAATGACTGGGACTAGGGTACCCACAATTATAAAGCACAAACACCAGGTACCACCAGTTACTCATGAGAGCTCCTTACCGTAACATGCAAGTAAAACATTCATTTACTAGAAGAAAGATGTCTCAATGTGTTACTTCTTCCCCTTCCCCCCTTAAATAATATTTTGCTTCCTGTTAAACCCAGATAATGACAAATATGATTGAAATGTAACCTGGCAAAATTCCTTGTTTCACATGTATCTTTATTCTTTTAGGCCTCTTTTTCGTGGAAGTTCAGATGTCGATCAACTAGGAAAAATCTTGGAGTAAGTAATAGCTGTACTTTTACATCAGTGTCTGTAGCATTAAAACATTTACAGTGACTTTTCTCTGACGTTTATATAATATGTTTATCTCTTTTCTTTCTTATCTTTTCTACCCCAAGCTGCTGCTGCAGACAATGTTCTGTTTGTGTGGTGAGTGGGGACATGGTGGCTGTGCTGTTTTATGCAGAGCCCATCATGACGTGTGGCCTAACCGCTCTGCTCTGGAAACTTGTGTGTGTTGCTCATGTGGATCTTTGAGCTGCTCCTCTTTCTTTGCTTGGCTGAGCTCCAGTTCTTTAGTTCAGATGTATTGTCTGCTTCGGGTCATTGCAGATGTATCCACCATCAGAGGTGGGGTGCTTGGTGGCCTGGTAATACATCCTTGATACTGGGCTCCCTGTCCCCATTGAGTATCCGTTAATCATCCAGGTTGGTTTTGCATTTTTTTTCTTTGGTTTTCCTGGACAAAAGGATGGTATGCTACACAATCCATTTCTCTTCGGAGCTCCTGAAACAGGAAATGAGAAATCTAGGTTCTAATCCTACATCCATGGCTAAATAACTATACAATCTTGAGAAAGTTGTTTAACATACCCTATAAAGGGCTTACACAGTGCCTGGTGCGTAGTACATGCTTTAAAAGTGTTAGCAGTTATTATAATTCATCATTAATTGTTTCACCATTTTGTTCCTTAACTTCTTCACCTGAGAATGAAACTTTGGGCCTAAATTCTCTTTAAGATCCTTTCTCATGCTCAAGTTTTTTAGTTCCAGTTGTCTGTTACACAGCTCCTTGATGATTTGCAGAGTTTCATTCATGTCTATATGTGTGCATGTGAGTGTGTATATATGCTTTCATGTTTCTAGAATGTAGAAAGGGGGCTTTTCTTCTCACAAAGCATGCAGTATGGCATCCTTTTGGGATCTGTGCATTTGCCAAGTCCCCTCAGAATTGGGGTGGAGTAGGAAGAAAGTGGGAGTTGTAGAACCAAAAATAGCCCTGATCATTGGTCTGTGACATTTTATAGGAATCCAAGTGATTTTTTTTCTATGATATTTGCAGTCTGTGAAACTGGGGAGAAGCGCCCCTAAAGAAAATAATTATAGTTTTTTAATCTTAGCTACTGAAGCGTGACTGCTTAAAATAATTGAAATAAAACTGGAATCTGACTTTGTTCGTCTGATGACTGGAAGCAGCTCCAATAGACTTCTGTCAGTGCCAGTGTCACTGTTGGATCAGAAGCCAGTGGCTTTAAGGCCTGAAAAACATTTGCCAGTTTTATTGTCTAGGGGCTGCCTGGGTCCAGGGCAACTGCTGCTTCTTCTATTGCTACTGCTGACCACTCTGTAAGATGAACGGATTTGGAACAAAACTTTCATCCTCTGCTTCTGGATGTCAACTTCTTTGTCATGCAACGATGAGCTCCCATCTGTACTTCCCCATCACTGTTGAATGTATTTTGTGTGTATGTGATCCTGAAGAGGGAACTGTGCAAATCAGGCATACACCAGTGACCCTCAGTCAAAAGGAAAGACAACCATGACTGGAAGCGGCTTGCCAGGCATCGAAGTCCTTCACCTGCTTCCCTTACTGACGCCACCTGGGCATTTGGGCCCCCTCCAGCGCTGGCATCTGCAATCTTGTTAACATTGTTAGTGCCCCCTGAGTATACAAAGTCAGTGAGATGGACCAGGAGGAACCTCTGACTAGCGTGTTTGACTTGCTTCCTCAGGGAAGCCGGTTCCACTTTTGGCAAAGGCCTGACATCCTGGGTTGCCAACAGAAAGAAGCGATCAAGTTCTTTACGTTTTGTGCAGTTAGATTTTCCTTTTTGGCTCTGACATTGTTTCATTGACATTGTGTCCTAATTCCTCTGAAAGCACGCATTGCTTTGGCGTCGAGAAAAGGGACAGTGCTGCACCCTAGTGTCACTTCTAAAGTACTTGAAAAGTGATTTCTGTCCCCACCATCACTGCCATTTTTAGGTTTTGTGCTGTCATTCTTTCCAGTACAAATGTCAACTTTTAAGGCTTACATTCAGCTGTCCAAATACTGAAATTTGATGTAAGTGTTTTTTTAATAGATCTATCAGAATTTCACAACACTCATATGTGGGCCATAAAAGTTCATACTCGATATTGAACTGAATTTTTTTTTAAAGGCAGGTTATATTCACATAACCTACAGGGAAGAAAATGTTTGTGTTTGGGAAGATTTATACTTTCAAAGAACAGCAAGTACTTTGAAAATGAAACTGAATGCTTTTAGCCCATGGCATTTCAGAGCATTTTTAGGAGCGGAGTCATAGTTAAATAGAAACAAAATATTGGATTTGGAATAAGGAGAACTGGTTTCACTCACTCCAGGCTCTGTGGCTGACCTCGTTACGTGTGTGACTTTGGCAGCTCACATCATTCTTCATCCTCAGTTTCCCCATCTGTAAAATGGAAACAATAATACCTGACCTACATGTCTCAGGAGGTGGTTATGGGGATCAGAGGAAGTGACAGATTTAAAGACACTTTTAGAAGTTATTTATATAAGCAGTTTTATATATTAATATAATATATACATATATATATAATTGTACACCACACAGACATATACATACAGAGACACTGTTTCTCGGATGGCTTTTGCTGTCCATACTGCCAGATTTAACTCAATATAAATATATTGAAAGATGCAAATAAAAAGATTTTAAATTATTGCTAAGTGTTGTTATAATCAATTTCTCGGTAACTGGTGATTATATGCAAAAATATTGGTATAAAAATGGCTAAAAAGCTAAAAATGAATGAAAGAAAAATTTTCAAGTTCTTTAATAAGCATTCTTCATCTGCTTGTCCCAGTCTATCCAAACACATACACATTTACTTCCTTTCATAATTAATAGTGAGGGTTTTTTTCTTCTTTTTCCTCTTACTCTAGATCTTGCTATTGAACAAGTTTGAGTATTGCTCAAGTTGCCATTGCCATTCATTTGTTCCAGTAAACATGTCCAGGAGCCTGTTTTTATCTGCTTCCATAGCATGGTTCTCCCAGCATGTCCTGCAGAGATAGGTGTCTTTCCACAGATACTCAGTGACAGGTGCAGTTATGACACAGGTGTCTGCTCTTCCCGGGTGAGTCTGTGGCCTGGGCTCTCTTGACGTAAGGGAAGGAGAACAAGCCCTGCAGAGATCCTGTGACATTTACCACCACTTCTTCCTGAAACCTGGAAATCTATTCAGGAGAACACCCTTCCTGGGCCTTAGTCCCAGCAAGTGCAGACCAACAAGAGCCTGATACAGGCCAGCAGCATTTCTAACTGGAGTTTAAATAGTTTGGTCAGTATTTGAGTAGTTTTATATTCAGTTCGCAATACTATAATTTTAGTTCAGAGCTCATCAGAGTCTATGTGAGATATAAGTTCTTGGATCCCCAGTTTCCTTTGTTCAAACCTACTTACCATCTATACATAAACTATAAATAACATCTACATAATTCCTATTATGTTGTGTAAAGCCACTGACCTATTAATATTTCTAAAGAACCTTAAATTCCTCATGAGTAGAACTCAAGCAGTACATATTTTTAATGTGGTAGTGATGCATTAACTACACATTTTAGATTAATAACATGATTTTTCTCCTATGATAATAATGGGTAATGTATTGATATTGGCAAGTACTGTGTGCCAGGCACTGTGCGATGCACTTTAAATTATCACTGATCATCATAACAACCATAAATTACTACCATTGTTTCATACAAAAGACACTGAGTCTCATAGAAGTTCAGTAATTTGTCCTTACCTACCGTTATATGGCAGGTGCAGAATAAGAACCCAGGTCTGCCTATTTCCAAAGCCTGGGCTGTTTTCATATGACTTGATACCATCTCCATATTTCTGATCTCAGAATGGTTTTCAGGGAAAATGTAAATGATGTTTATTGTTTGCTCACTTTGGAATACCATAAAATAGTTACATAATATAAATTATATAAATTAAATTTGATATGAAATTATAAAACAGTGTTTGCATAGTATAGGACTCATATGCCTTTTAACTTTTTCTTTTGGTCTGATGCCAATGGATGTAATTACTATTTGGGGAATTATTCTTTAACCAAAAGTGCAACCAGATTTATATGGTAACAGATCATGTTAGATGAACATCACAAAAGCATGTCAATATGGAAGTGTTTGGTCAGAACACAAAAAGCATCCTTGGGCGTAAAGGAAAATGTATATGCCCATGTGGTTCTCCTTTGAATATATAGGTCTCGCTCTGTCGTATATAAGGACTTATTGGTGGTATGATATTTTCCATTTCATATCTCTTATATTTAGTAGCTGCTTCCAGAGTAATCTCATACCTCTTCCCAGTGATCTTTACAATTCTCCTGTGGGGTTACCCTCTTTCCCTGGTCATCATATTGCAGTAGCACAGAGAAATGAGAGTCCAGCCAGCCACACAAGTGAGGGGCTCCTGGGACTCCCTGTCCCCGATGCCTGCTTCTTAGACCTTACCTTCATCTAGAACTTGATGGGAAAATAGCTTTTGCATAGCCACTAATGTTTATGGTCACATGTCGTTCTTTTGTAGCGTAATTGGACTCCCAGGAGAAGAGGACTGGCCTAGAGATGTTGCCCTTCCAAGGCAGGCTTTTCATTCAAAATCTCCTCAGCCTATTGAGAAGTTTGTAACAGATATTGATGAACAAGGCAAAGACCTACTTCTGGTAAGTTCAGGCGATGCAGAGTTGGTCTGCACTGTGCTGATGAAAGACTTGCCCTGTCCACACTGGGTGGTGGGCACAGCATCAGTTCAGTGTCATGTGCCATGACCTCACAAGGCATAGGCCACAATCCCTCTGCAGCTCTCACTTCCACACCTGTAGTAGCTGGCAGCTTTTGATTCTGGAATGTCTTCAGTTCCTGTAAAAAGAGGAAGAGTCTGATCCACACACTTTCAGTTCTCCAGCTTTGAACATTTGTTTGAATGCAGCCTTTGAAGCCTCTCCATTCATCTAGATCAGAGGTCAGCAAACTGCGGCTCGCGAGCCACATGGGGCTCTTTGGGTACGTTCCATCCCAAAAGTTTGCCGACCCCTGGAAGAGCCAGTCCTTTCCCTCACAACAATTTAAAAATTATTCGAGAGCCATAAATATATTTTTACAAATAAGGGAAATTTAAAGTAATAGTATAAATGAAACTATGATAGTTTTATTTTCATTTTCAGTTTTACTTCAGAGCCACAGGTATGTACCCAAAGAGCCGCATGTGGCTCGTGAGCCACCGTTTGCCGACTCCTGGACGCTCTTCCATCTCAAAAGTTTGCCGACTCCTGGTCTAGAAATATGCTTCTAATAAGTATTTAATGGGCCGTGCACAGATGAGCTACCTCACTAAAAAGAAGGACTTCAGTCCTGTTTGAGACTCAAACTCGTAATACATGGCCTTTTACATAATTTCCTATACTTGGAGGCCAGAACAATATAGGTAGAAGAGCAGACCTATTGGGCTACTCTTGGTGTTTGGAACCCATTGAGTAATAAGTGTATCCTTTACCTACTAAAATGAACAACCTTTGCTATCTAGCCAAGAAAGTGCTCCTAGACTGGAAGCAACCAGTGCTCAGTATATTCTGATTTCAAGTATGGTTTATAGCCCTTAGTAGATATGTTATGCTTCAGCTCTGTGTGGATACAGCCATTGACTGGCATGTTTGCAGAACCAGTGAATTTCAGGATTTTCCCAGTGAAGTTCAGACCTAACTCCAGCTTCACCTGATGGTGGTTCATTTTCTAATGTTTAGGCAAAGGTTCCCTCCACTGCCGAGTTATGGATAAGGACAGCTATATTTCCTCCCCACTCTTTATTGCTAAGACAGTCCCTCACTAAGGCCTACATCCTTTGAAATAAATTAATTAAAAGGGAGAACATTTATGTAGGCATAGGCACACTATATGTCTAGGCTTACTTGCTGGCTCACTTGTTATTTAGGAAAAAATTTTAGTTCCAAGTAACAGACATGTACTTGCATTACCGTTAAGAAAAGAGGGTTTAATTGAATGTTTCATGTGGTCTGGAAATGGAAAGCCATTCAGGGTATAAATGCTCTGTCTCTGTCCTGTGCATCTCCTGCCCTTAGCAACCCTGCTCTTCTCTGCCCTGAATGCCTTTTCATTGCCTGATTACTTCTTTTCAGTTATACTGTCTGCTCCGCTTAACTTTAGCTGGTCCCTTCACTATCAGAACTTCTACTAACTCATGGATCCTTTCAGCTCTAACCCCCACTGCTAACGTTTACCCTGTCAGTGTTTTCTACATCAGATTCCTAAAAGGAGGAATCTGGCTGACACACCTCTCCTTTCTTCCAAGCCATGATATGGATTGCTACCTAGGGCCAGGTGGCATTCCTGGTCCAGTCAGCTGAGCTGTGAAGGCGTAAGGGTCGCATGGTAGAAAACATGGCAACCATAGGCTTTCCTTTCAGCAGGAATTTTGAATGAAATGTTCCTCTCAGAAAAGAATTCTGGTCAAACAGTCACAGATGAACTTCAGTAATGAAGTATCCTACTCCTTCAGCTACCAGCACATCTAAAGACAACCCAAAATATCTCCTAGCTCCAACATCAGTAGGAATCACCAAGAAGAGCTTAAAATGTAAAGGTAACAGATAACGTCACATCCTCATTCAGGGTGCCCCACTAGCAGTGGTGGCTTTCAAAGTCAGACGACACACTAGTGTTAGACTGGAGAAGTAGCAGGAGACAAGCAAAGAAGAAAAAGGAACAAAGAAACGTACCAAAGAGAGAAGGAAGAAGCAAAGGAGACGAATAGCCAGTTGTCATCAGGACTAGGGGAAACCTAAGGACCAAGCATAATTTCTATGTGCATTCAAGGAAAGCACAGCCCGAGATCTCAAAGCTCAGAACCCTCTTAAGTTCTCCCTGTTTCATGCTGAAGGGACACAGGCCAGAACTATACAGCAGAAGAAGACTGGCCATTTGGTACAAGATAGGCAGCTAAGACCTTAACGGTACCTGTTGCTTCCATTGAAAATTATTTACTAAACAAGAAAAGCGAAGAGTGTTTTAAGACGTTTGTTTTGTTTCAGAAACAACATTTGAAAGTTTGGCACTTTAGGAGTTACTCTTCATTTTTATCAGTAAAGTGGTTGACTTTACAGAATGCCTCAGTCATGTATGTATGGATATATACATCAACATTTGTAAATGCTCTTACATATGTATATAAGTCACGTGCAGTAATAAGACAATTCAGGGGGAAAATTACTTTTAACAACCAATACCTACACATCTTTATGAGTTTTGTCCCCCCTTGATCATGGCAAACTTGGAAAGCTGAGTACTTATTCCACATGTGATGTTCTTGCTGAAAAAAAAGTTTTAGACTTCCTGCTGTCTAACTGCTTTCAGAGGCTGAGGTGCTTTTTTTTTTTTTTTTGGTGCTTGTATTAGTCTGCTTTTGATGCATAACAAATAACCAAAAAAACATCTCACTAGCATACAACAGTAAACATTTTTTTCTTGCCCATGGGTCTGCAGATTGGCACAGACAGCTCTGCTCCAGCCTTTGGGGTCAAGTACAGGTTGTCTCCGTGCGTCTTATTCTGGGGCCCAGACCAGAGAGGCTGCGGCTCCCTGGAGCATGTTTTGCTCATGGTCGAAGGAAGATGCTCCCAGGAGGCAAGCAGAAGCCTATGGTGGATGCCCCTGAAGGCCTCTTGGAAGAGCCACCCTGTTACTTCTGTCCACATTTCACTGGCCAAAGCAAGTTTCATGACCAAGGCCAACTTTAGTAAGGAATATTCCTCCCATGGAGAGAAGAAAGGCAACATGTGCTGAAAAATGTTCCACTGTAGTATTCAACTCTTGACTAAGGCGTCATTCAAAAAGCTCATTTTAGGGTCGGCCGAGTGGCGTGTTGGTTAGGAGTTGGCTTGGGACACCAGCTCTGAGCAGCAGGGCCCGGTTCAGATCCCACATATGAGGGCCAGTGACACTGCCCTCTACAGCTAAGATGAACAACAGCTCGACCTGGAGCTGGGCTGACGTGAGTCGCTGGCAACGGCATAGGCTGCAGTGGGGCTGGCCAGCAGTGGGCGTGAGCTTTCGTGAGCTGCCGTGAGCTGCTGTGAGCGGCCTTCCAGTGGCTGGCGAGTGACTGCCTCACCCAGGAAGAGCACAGTGATAATACCAACATGGGCCAGTGAAGCGACATCCTCCACAACTAGACTGAAGAGCAAAAGGACAGCATCTTGTCTGTTCCCCTTCCCCGATTCCCCAGTGCTGTTCCCATCCCCCCAATTCCCCAATAAAAAAAATCTTTTAAAAAAAACCCAAAAAACTCATAAGTCAGTAATTTAATTAAATTACAGTAAATTAAATTTTCTGGCAGAAACAATATTACTACACAAGATTTCTTTTAATTCTCAAGTCAGCCTTTTGCTCTATTGATGTAGAGCAATAATAGAATTTAGCCACCCTTTCTAACAATATTTCTAGAGGACATAATAATGTATTTTCAGGCTTCCGGCATAAGATTATCACACACCCCCACATGAAGCTAAGAATTTCTCCTTCTTTCTACCTCCTTTCCAGCTCTAAGCCATCAGTATATCTGTGGGGACAGAGCTTCGTCTCAGATAATCTTCTAGTGACATGTCTCTATCTTGAACATATCTCCACCCTTTTTTTTTTTTCTTTCCTATGTTCTGGGAATTAAACCAGCAGGTTCCTTTTCTAATGCCACTACTAATGTCCTCTTTAAACATGAGAAGAGAGCTCAGGCTCAAGAATTTTGCCCCTGTTTTCCCAGCCTTGGGGAATTCAGCCCTTCCTTGTAAAGCTTTCCTCAAGATGTTTATTGCTATGAGAGACAGTAGAACCATTCTATGAACAAGCTCTTTCCTTTGCTTGCCCTTTCATTCTTTGATTTCCAGAAGACACTACGAGGAGGCTAGCCTAGCTTCCATGGACTGGTAGGGAGTTCAAGATAAATAAGATTCAGGGGACCCAAAAATTTTCCTGCAATTCTATGTCGAATTCTCTATTCGTACATGTTTTGCTAGGTCAGTAGTGTTCAACAGTGTATATTAGAGGGGCCCCTAATCCAGGCTGGATCTGATGAGGCCTGTGAGCTCCTTAAGACCAGAAACCCAGATTAAATAGAAGCGGTTCGCATAACGATGATAATATTAAGTCTTTAGATTACATAGAAGACTCAAAATTCATAGACATTTCAGATACTCAGCTCGCTTCACAAGGATGGAAAAACTGGTGTAGCTTCTCTGCCACTTGGGTGGGTCTTACTCATCGTTAATGCTTGCCACCTGCTAGGCACTCCGGAGGTGTTGGTGGAAGGAATGCAGGAAGGTTTGAAAAATAAGATTACCTGGGGTTGGAGTGGAGATGGAACTGAGATCGGGGAAACATTCTGACTGACTGATTATGAATCAGCGGTTTGGGAATGGTGATTGCTACCCCAGAGGTTCACCTTTCCCTCCTTCACCTTCTTCCTGCACATTCTACCTACACTTGCGTTGACAGCCTGGAATAGAGTTTAGTGACTGAATTGAATCTAGTGGACTCCTTGTAGGGAGAGCTACTGCTAGTCCATATGGCACCTCAATGTGAATTTTTTTTTCTTTTTTTTTTTTTAGCTGAGCCATCCTGCCACCTGTGGCAGCTCAGCTCGGGCCGGGACTCGAACCGCTGTTGCTCAGAGCTCGCACCCTTGAGCGAGCTCTTAACCAACTGAGCCACTCGGCCGACCCGCGATGTGAATTATTGTAGAAGGAAGGCTGCACTCTGGTGGTGCAGCCCTGGGGCAGGGCGCATGGCTTGCTAGTACTTTGGGATAATTAGGATCTAGGTTCTAGCCCTCACTTGCTCCCTCCTTAATAGAGAAAGCCTTTTCTTTCCTGGCTTGAAATGCATTTCCTTTATGGTTTTTGTTGTTAGTTCGTTTTGGTTTTGGTTTTAGGAATTTGTCAGAAGCTATTTCCTGTTTTGGTTTGGAGAGAATTCAGTAATTCCCCTTTACGCCTAAACGATGCCGTGCCATTCCCTGCTCATTGTCAAACCTTGGGGAAGAGTAAAGAATCAGGATGAAGTCTCTGATGATAGCACTAAGTTTGCTATCCTTAGAAAAATCACTACCTAAATAAAGTTATATGCATATTGCAGCAATAATAATAGTAATAATAATAATAATAATAAATCTTTTAAAGGACCTGGGGTGGGTTGGAGAGAAATCATGGGTAGATAATTGTCGACAGGCAACCCAAAATGTGCAACCCTTTTTCTGAGGGGCAGTTTATACCTTATATGTATATATTAGTACTATCTACGTTTTATCTAGTATCCTTTGAAATAGATATTCATTCATTATAGACACACATAATTCATGGCAGTGAACAAATGTATAACTATGTGAACACATTTTTTAAATGGACATGTTTTATATCAACCAGTTATTTTTTCTTCATCACAGAAGTGCTTGACCTTTAATCCAGCCAAAAGAATATCTGCCTACAGTGCCCTGTCCCACCCATACTTCCATGACCTGGAGAGATGCAAGGAGAACCAGGATTCCCACCTGCCACCCAGCCAGAACAGCTCCGAGATGAACACAGCCTGAGGGCCCAGCCACTGCCTTGAGCTGATCACCTAGAGAACATCGACGGTGGCTGATGGCTCCTCCTGAGGAAGCCCTGCACCTCTGTTGAGGCCCACAGGCGGGAGACCTTCTCGCTGCCCGCCGTCTTCTGGATGGGCTCTGCTTCTCACCGCCTAGTTTACTGTGTGAAAGCAATGCAAGAGCAAATGCAGCTTTATGTTCGTTCATTGATTTGTTTGTCTGTCTGTTTGTTTTAAGAACCTGGAAAAATTCCAGAAGAAGAAAAGAAGCTGCTGACCAATTGTGCTGCCATTTTCATTTGTCTAACTTTGAATGCTGCCAGTGTAAAGTGAGCAACCCAGGCACAGCTGAGTTATGATGTAATCTCTCTGCAGCTGCCGGAGCCTAATTTGGTACTTCTGAGTGAGCGTGTGTGTGCGCGCGCATGTGTGCTTCTTGATCTCTTACAAAGTGTTACTTTCTGTAAATGACAACAATAATTGAATTTTAAAGACTCAGAGTGACCCTTAAATAACAGAATGGGCTTCTCAAATTAGAGCATTGAGCGTATGTCCGCAGAACTTTTCTGGCCAAAAGCAGTAAATTTGCTAGCAGCGAAAGTTTCACTATCTAGATGAAGTTTTATACACACAGCAAAGAGAAAAAAAAAATTCTAGTATCTTTTAAGAGACCTATTTTTTAAAGCATACATCCTATTTACTCTTTAAAAAGCTGAATTTATTCATTCTAAGTCCATTTTAACATGTATAATATGCTTTATTGGTTTTTTGGAGGGGAAAAAAACCCCATAAGCTCTTTCTTACTTGCTATATAGATTTAGGGAGTATACCTCAAATAGGTGAAATTGTCAAAAAAAAAAAAAAAAGGTAGAGAAAGCCTTTATTTCCTAGTTTGAAATTTATTTCCTGTTTGTTTTTTGTTGTTGTTCTGTGTTTGATTCTAGGAATTTGTCAGAAACTGTTTCCTGTTTTGGTTTGGAGGAGAGCTCTCTGACGAGAGACAGGAATGCCATATAAGTTTTCCCCACCTATTACACTGTACTTTTTCTACCACGCACTGCCTTGTTTTCAAAGTTTGCATCTTCACTCTCACCCAGTGCCTCTAATATACAGAGGGTGCCAAAAAAATGTATACACAGTTTAAGAAAGGCGAAAACTCTTAAAATTGCAATACCCAATATTTACCAATAACAAAAGGTGAATACAAGTCACTTTTGACTTCAGTTACAAGAGGTGCTCAAAGTAGTTAGCATCAGTGTCCATACAACGTCTGATGACGGCAAGCTACTGCTTGAGCAATGTTGACTAAAGTGGCCACTTGTATACATTATTTTTGGCACCCCCAGTATATATGACTTCCATTACATAACTAATAACAGATTGCTTAAGCTGTTCCCATGCACTTTCTTGCTTTTGGTGAACCGTTCTGAAACAGTTAGATTCAGATAATGGCTATGATTCCAATTCCCCCATATTAACAGGTCTCCTGTGTTCTCGCTCTAGTGCAATCTTCCTGCCTGGCATTCACAGTTGTTACCTAGGCAGTGAGTAGAGGACTAGTTCTTCTCTATCACTAGCACATAGATTGCTTTAAAGTGTTACTTAGTGTTTTACCGTTTTATAGAATATATGTCAGTGTAGGTATTCTGAGGGAATATCTTTAACTCTTTTTTAGAAATAAATATTTACTCTATAAAACAATCTTTGCTCCATCCCCAAGGCTGTGCTCATTTCTAGTGCCTTGTGCACACTCCCAGCCTGACCTGGGCACTGTGCACACCTCTACTTTTTCTCTTGCCATTTTCTGTGTAGTACTTTACATTTCATACCATCTCTGCCATCCATGTGGTTAAGTGCTCAGTTGGCTCTAATACCTGGAAGACACGGAGATTAAGTATGTTTTGGGAATTTTAGCTACCTTTGCTTTCTGACGCATGTTTTGAGAGCATGCAACAGTTAGACCATGTTTAGAGTTAGAGTTTTCAAATAATGGACCTTGCTTAACTCAGTACACTATGTTCCAGGTGATGTTTATGCATTGTCAAGCTTTCACCACTTAATATTGTGTGTGACTATATTGACCAAGAGAAAAATGAGGAGAATTTTCTCCTTGAGAGCATTTTAGGTCAGGAACCATTTATTTTTAATACATAGGTTATTTAACATTATTCTAATTCAGTAACTTGAAGAGCGGGACAAATTTTTCTAAAGCAAGCTATGAAGATGGGCCATAAAGATGTTTTACACTTTTGTTCATTGTGACAACAATAATGATGTTTTGTCATCACTGTAAATGCTTGAGATATAATGAATCCAGAGCATCAGGGTGAG